GGCTGTTCCTTACTGGGACGTACCCTTCCGGGAGGTCCTGGGCCGCCTCTCTGCAGTGAGGACTGAGAGCTCCTGCGTGAGGGACAGAGACGGAGGGTTTGAGGGGCAGGACCTGCAGGATCTGCAGGGTGAGGTGGCGCGGGCCGCTCTCCCAGGTGCGCTGTGTTTAAGCTGTGGCTGGGCTCTGTCTCCCCGTCCGGCCCTGACCAGGCTCCGAGTCCCTCCCAGGGCCCAGGAGAAAGCGGCTGGCACTGGTGGTGGCTCTCCAATCAAGGTGTGTGGCAGGGTTGAGGAGATCATGGGCCTGACAGCAGTGCACGACCCCCCATTCCAGCCCAGATGACACAGGACGCTGGCACCTGCGTCCTGAGAGTGGGCCTGGCAGGGCCCTGGCGGGAGCCTCAGTGAAGGCCAGGCTAGGAAGCTGCCGGCCGCCAGACGACCGGCATGCCCACTCCAGGTCCCCTCCCAAAGGCAGGATGAAGAAGGGGGGTGGAAGGGCATGGACCAGCCACTGTCCCTCAAGGGGCCAGAGGGACAGCAGGCTGTCTCCAAGTGACTACAGGAGTGAGCTCCAGACCCATTGAGGGGAGGCTGATACACTCTGGGTCAGTGGCCTTGGCAGCCCTGGGGGGTCCTGAGGCCCAATTTGGGGCTCAGTGGCACAGTCGGCGGCAGGCCTGCAGGAGGGCCTGGGTGGGCTGTGGGGGTGGCGAGCATTTTGGCCCTGGGGACCTGTTTTTGATCCCTCGCTGGTTGAGGGGTGGCCTGGCAGCTGCCATGCTGGGGCTGTAGGTCACCTGACTGTGGGAGCCACAAAGCCAGATGCCAACAGAGGCCTTCCTTGGCCACTTACGGTGCTCTTGGATTTCTGACCCTGAGTGTGAGGTCGAGGGCCTTCCTCGAGAGCAGGCCCAGGACTGGCGAGGGCCCAGTGGGCGCCTTGGGCCCCTGACCCCCCGGATCTGGCCAGCGTGTCCCGCCTAAGTCCGTGTCTGGCCACCATCTTTGAGTATCTGCTAAGATCAGGAAAGCAAGTGGCCTGAGTGGTAGGGTGATCGGCCCAAGACTGGCTGTGTAGGGTGGTCTGTCTGGGAACTGGTGTTCCAAGTCTGGGTGGTGTCTACAGACAGCTGCTGGGGACATGTGCCCCATGGGCCTCCAGGCTTCACGCCCTGGGCTCAAGCCTGAGGTGGAGGATGTGTCCGCTGGTCTGCTGGGCCACCCGGCCGGCCATCTGTCCCGCCCGCCTGTCCTACCCTGCCCATTGGTGGTGCTGCTCCCCTCCCAGGGCCTGGCCAGGCCCGTGGTGCTGCTGCCGGAGCAGCCTGGTGTTCTTTCAGGTCCTCAGACGTGGTGTTGAAGGGTCCAGGCTGACACACTGTTCCCTGGGAGGCGCCCAAGGGCCTCCCGTGAGCAGCCGGGGCTGTGGGGCTCGGGGCTCTGCCCTGGACCGGAGACGGCGCGTGGCGGCCAGGACCTGTCCAGACCAACGGTGCGAAGTGTGCGGAGCCCTGAGTCAGCCGGCCTGGGCCCTCAGAGCTGCCAGGAAACCAGCGCCACT